TTTTTTTTTTTTTTTTTTTTTTTTTTTTTTTTGATTAATAGTTCAATTATAGTTGTTTTGTAAAAAAAAATTTTTAAAAAAACTGTCAGGAAAATTTTACTTTAAATAGCTTGAAAAAGTGCAGGAAAATATTGTTGTTTGGTGTTTTAAGAACGGATAAGATTTTATAGAGACACTGGTCTTTCGTGTTGTCGGTCTCCTTCATTGTAGTGACAGCAACTTTTAAAGCCATTGCTCTTTTATTTAACTCAATAAGACCACACTGGTTCTCTCTCTTATGCATTATTTGGAAACTCAACACACACAACAGAAAGAAAAACAACAAACAAGTTATCAAAGACACATAATCAAACGGTTTCAAGAAAATAGAGATAGAGAGAGAGAAGCTTTTGTTTCACTGCTAGGATTGTTTGATTTAAGCATCATCTTCACCGAGAAGTGCGACGAGCATCTTCTCGTAATCTCCACGAGTGTCTTTGGTAATGGCTTGCTCCAATGGAATGCTGTTTCTTCTCTGGAACTCTTCTCCAATGACCTTCAAGTCAACCTCAGCTCTTGTGGTCACAATTCTAGTGAGAGCTCCTTCGTCTGTTCCGGTTTTGTTGATTGCTGAACGAAGAACCTCCACAAAGTAAAGCTCTGGTCGTGTCAAGCACTGAATGGTTGACCTCAACAGTCCGAGGAACTTGTCGTCCTCATCTCCTTCCTCAAGGGTCTGTAAGAACAAGACTTTCAATTATTATCAATTATAAAAAAAAAACAAGATCAACTTAAAATGAACAGTTTTGGGCTTCCACTACCTTGAGGATTTCCTCGCCGTGATTATCTTGGTAGCGATTGAAAGTAGCATTGATCTGTGCTTTGCTCCTAGTGGACAAAATCCTAATCACATCTTCATCGTTGTACTGCTTGTCCTTGATTTTCTCATGGATCAGCTTAGCCTCTTGCTTAGCCAGTGTCATGTTTACCTCGTCCCCTTCGTACCTGTACGAGCTAACAAGAGAAACCAAAAGCTGCAAAAAAAAAGAAAACAACAACTCAATAACTGTGTTTCAAGTAGTAACAAAAAAAATCATTTCAAAGGATTATTATTAATGAATAACCTTTCTGAAGTCACCGGTGGTGTGGTGAGCGACATCCTCTTCCATAGACTTCTTGAAGCGAGCATGGTAAGCTTGCCTAGCGTGAAGC